CCTCATAGACTATCTAGCCAAGACTTCAGATAGCTCTACACTTTCCCATTACACAGAGACTAAACAAAAAATAATATAGCTACTTCTCCCAGGATTTGATCATTATCCCAATTTTCTCAGGGCCTCCTATAGATGCTGTTGCCCCCAGTCAACAAGAAGTAATTATAAGAATATGACATCCATATTCCCAAGAGAAGGAATAGGTGGTTTCTGGTCATTCAATGGGTTGTGAATGTTTATCATCATTGTTACTGGTCATGGTAATGGACGAGTCTAAGCAAGATGGCTGAATTGAAGGATCTCTTTCTAAAAAAAGGGGGTATGGAAAGGGTAAGAAAAAAGGTAGATTATTTAATCTACTTTAAACTAAAAAGCAAAAATTAATTCAAATATTTTACATTGGTATTGATTTTTATATATTGCTATAAATTTAATTTTATTTTTATTAGAATATACTCTAGATAAGTTTATACTCTTGTTTAAGATATTATACTTATGCAGCTCATTTAAAATGTAATGTATAATTGAGGAATACAAGTTAGTAATCATCTACAATAATTAACCTTATGTTAGATATGTTTTCAAGGTTAAACAAACATATATTTTAGATATATAGGTGGTCTTCAAACACTTTAGAGACTTACAGAATATGACATTTAATATGTTTTAATAACCTAAGATTTTTCATGAAACTGAGACACTTCTGCTCCTGGCATAAAAATTTACTTCAAACAAGGATGATGGGCATTGAAGTACCTCCATATGGAGTTTGCTTTCACTGTAGCAAAGTTAGCCACTGGGCAGGAAGCTGCCGTTGACTCCACAGCTGTCAGTATGCTGTTCAAATTGGACAAGCGGGGTACAAAAGAAGGCGACTGCCAAACTTTGCCAAGACAAGATAGGAGAGGCCCTGAAATTTCCTCCTTCACAGAAAAGTCTGTCAGATATTCTAGGCCTACAGAGGCTGAAAATGGAAGCCTCAAAGTTTCAGAGAAAATGTGGTTGACTGTCCAGGTAGTCAGCCCCTTCTGTAATTTTTATAGTTTGGGAAGTTTTTTGTTCTGTATTTCCTGTTTGCTCAGTTAATATTATATCCTTCTCAGGATCTCTGAAGTAGTTGAAGACAAGATTGTTTTAGTTCCAGTTTTCCTTGTTACTAAATTCAGAAAAGAAACTTAGAAAAGAGGTATAAGTTGTATAAGATTGAAAGACATAAAAGCTTAAATTGTTTATGTAAGAAAATGTTTTGAGTTCTAAAAAGATAGTTTTGGGTTGGTAATACAAGTTAAGATAGAAATGAATTAGGTACAAAACTTTGGATTCACCAAGATAGGATAGATAATAAAGTGGTTTCTCTGAATTTGCCAACTGCAATTGGACTGGATCTTGTGAGAGTAATTCTTACTTGATAATTGTTCTTATTGTATATAGTTTCACTGTGTTGGGATTAAAACCTTTCTTTTTATTTAGACAAGAAGGGGGAAATGTTGGGGGACATTCAATCACACTGTAAACCTCAAGTTTGCCTTTGCATTAATTAAATAAAATTAACATTGGTTCAGAAAGCTGAGTTAGCAATTAGTTGACAGAACGTAATCAGAGAGAATCAGGGGGCATCCAGGAGAGACACAGAAAGTATTTGGGAGGGATTTAGAGTGGCACAGGTTTTTCTGGTTTGACAGAAAAAAAGCAAAGTCTTTCAGAGATGCCAACAAGGATGAGAAGGTTAGCGTTTTGCTATTTAACCTCTCTGTGCTAGCAGGTTTTCACCCTGGCCTTTAAATTTCAAGTCTTATTTATAAGTAGAACAATAGAGATTCAGTTCAAGCTACCTTTAGCAGCAGCAACAGAGCTGGTACCTGGAACAGAATTCTCACCAGGCTATGGACTGAGTGACCAGTCCACCACTAGAGAGACAGGCGGTAACTGCAGAGTTGCAATTGCTAGGTGTAGATGTAACCAACTGTCTATTAAATAAGAAACACAGAACCAATGTAAAAGAGAAAGCCAAGAGGTCAGAGCTCAGAGCTAAAACCTTACCCGTCCTCCTGAGGTGGTCCTACCTCTCCGAAAGAGACCTACTTCCTGTGTGTTTGTCTTTAGATAGTCTTTCTGTTCTGCCTTCTCATTGGTTGTAAACCCAAACATGTGACTGCCTCGTCACTGCCTGTAAGTACATCCCTCCAGATCTTAAAGGTGTATGTCTCCAATGCTGCCTGTATCCCTGAACACACAGAGACTTACCTAGCTCTGCCTACCAAGTGCTAGGATTAAAGGCATGCGCCACCACCACCACACTCTTGCTATGGCTTAATAGCTCTGACCCCCTGGCAACTTTATTTATTAACATACAATTAAAATCACATTTTAGTACAAATAAAATACCACCATAGCTAGGCGCAAAGGCAGTAGACTGGGGTGCAGCCACTGTGCCAAAGTTAAAACAAAACCACAGACCTTACAAATTTAAACACGTTAAAATTTCAGTGTCTTTAAAACATGCAGTCTCTAAAAATCCAAAAATCTCCTTTAAAAATTCAAAGTTTTGCAGCTGTGGACTCCTTTAAAAATCAAAATTAAATACCTTCTTCAAGAAGGAAGAACCAGGCAACAGTCACAATCTGAACCAAACAAAACCAACCTCCAACAGTGTAAATAATTTAATGCTCAATTATCTGGGATTTGCTCACCATCTTCTGGGCTGCTCCAAGAGCTTGAGTCACATTTCTTGCTCTGCCCTCAGCAACAAACCCAGCTTGTCTTCTAACTCCAGCTGGCTCCACTCCATTGCTACTGCCGCTCTTGGCAGTCATCATATGGTCCTGGCAGCTGTAAAACTCTACGGTCTTTGGCGGCACTGTCACCAAGAGCCTGTCATAGGCTCTCTTCATGGTGCCAAGTCTCAACACCTTTCAATGACCCCTTCAGTGCTGGGCCTTCAACTGGCCCTGAGGTTGGACCTCGAACAATGGCCTCTTCTGGCTTTTTACAGTGCCAAGCCTCAGCTGTTCTCCATGACCCTCTCACTCCTTCAAAACCAATGACCCCTAGGTGATTCTTACACTATCCAGTTCAGCTGCCAAAGTAACTTATACCTTTGGTCTCCTATGAAACATAGCTTCTGTATGCTGACTTTTAGGAAACACTTTCCAGAAGATTCTGCCTCCATGATGCTAGTCACTTCCTAATCACCACTAAATTTTCATCTCTAGCTGACCAATATTCGTAATTCCAACAAGGCAAAGGATTTGGTTTAGTACTTCTGGTATCTCATTAACCACAGCTGATTCTTCAGCCCCAGTTAATCAGAATGGCAGAATTTTAAATCAAAACAGGAAACATCCCTAATAGAGTCTTTAAACTTCCCTCTGAAACTTCACAGGCAAGGCCTCCATCCTCTACACTGTTCTCAATAGTCTTATCTTCAAAGCTCCTAAAGGACATCCCACTGAGTTCTGAACACTCAATGGATTTCCTTGCCCAGAGTTCCCAAGTATTTCTACATTTCTCCACAAAACATGGTCAGGTCTAACAAAACTATACTCCACTATGCTGGTATCAACATAGTTATATTTGTTGATATATATATATATATATCTGTAACAAAACACCATCACCAAAAACAAGTTGGGTAGGAAAGGATTAAAGTTGGCTTTCATGTCCATATCATAGTTCATCATCAAAGGAAGTCAGGACAGGAACTCAAATATTACAGGAACCTAGAGGCAAAAGCTGATGCAGAGCCCATGGCAGGGTTCTGCCTACTGCCTTGTTTCCCATAGCTTGCTCAGACCACCTTAAATAGAACCAGGGCCAGAAGCCCAGGGATGGCACTACCCTACATGATCTGAGACTCCCCCCCCCCACCGTCATTGATCACTAATTAAGAAAATACAGCCAGAAATTTCAGAGGTATTTTGTCAATTAAAGTTTTCTCTTTTCAGATAACTAGTTTGTGTGTTAACTCAACATAAGATTAGCTTGCACAGCAATTCTATGGTTTTTTTTGTTGTTGTTTTAGGAATAAATATTTTCACTTTATTAGAGTTTGGAGTGTTTTTTTTTTTTTTCAGATGCTACTTAAACCAAAGATTTTTCTCCGGCTTTACTCTCAGTTGTTCTGACAGTAAATTTATTACAGAACAACAAGCAAGGACTGGAGAGAGAGTTCACTTGGTAAAGTGCTAGTAATACGACCACGAAGTCCCAAGTTCAATCCCCAGCACACATGTAAAGGGCCAGGTTTGGTGGTGCATGCATAATCCCAGTGGTAGAGAGAAGACAAGCAGATCCATGGTGCTCTTAGACCAGCCAGTCTAGCCTACTAGGTAAGTTTGAAATCAGTAAGAGACCTTGGGTGAAAGAACAAAGTGAATAGCTACTGAGAACTTATACCCAACATTGACCTGTATGTAAATACACACACATGTACACATGCACCTGGGATGGGAAAGAAAGGGAGAGGGAAGAACATTTCTAGAAATATTCAAGATATACAAGTGGCAGAGTTGACTTTAAATTTTAGTGATGCAGAAAATAAAGAACTAGATAAAATGGAGCTGGTGTGCAAATGTTGACTGTTCCTGATTTCAGTAGGATTGCTTCAAGTTTCTCTTGATTTAGAATGATGTTGGCTGTGCATTTCTCATATATAGACTTTATTATGTTGAGATATATTCTCTCTAGTCCTATATTCTATGATCTCTAAGATGTTTATCATGAAGACACATTGGACTTTATCAAAGGCTTTTTTCTATCTTTTGGGACAACTATTTTTTTTCCTCTGTGTCAATTTATATGGCTTATTGTATTTATCAACTTGAGTATGTTGAACCATCCCTGCCTCTCAAGATAAAACCAACTTGATCCTAGTGGACAATCTTATTGATGTATGTCTGTAGTGTGTTTACAAGTATCTTACTGAGAATTTTTGAATGTGTGTTCACTAGGAATATTATTCTAAAGTTTTCTTTTTTGCTCTGTCTGTAATTGGTTTTGGTTAAAATATGGAATTCTTCAAGAATTCGTGTGTCATCCTTGCACAGAGGCCATGCTAATCTTCTCTGTGCCATTCTCATTATAATATACGTGCTGCTGAAGTGAGCATTACCTATTTTTTAAGGTTAAAAACATTGCAATGTGTATGACTGTACATACATTTTAGTATGTGAATATATACATGTATTTACAATGTTTATGAATATGTATTTATCAATTTATCTACTGACAGACACCAGCCATTTGTGCCTCTGAAATATTGTGAAGGGTGTTTCAAGGTACATAAATGTGCAAATAGCTCTTTCATATCCTGCTTCAATGGTTCAAAAACTTGCTCAGAAGTAAAATTGCTTAATCAAATGACAATTTTCTTATTAACTTTTTGATAAGTCACTGTACTTCTAAGTTTCCCATGGCGACTGCACGATTTTACATTTCTTACCAAGAGCACTTAAATATCCCAATTTCCCCATTCTCACCATTGTTTATTAATGTATTGTTTCTGATAGTGCCTATCATAATGAATGTGAGATGACATTTTGTTTCTTAATAATTAAGAAATATGTTTTCTTTTTCCTCGTATTCTTATCATGAACTTAACTTTCTATAAAGTGTTTAACAAAATTAATAACAAAAATCAATCACTAAAAAATAATTAGTAAAGGAAATATTTTTACATAAATTTGAACATAAAATAATAAAAACTTATACACTTCAAAAATACTCCATTTCAATTGCCACATTTTAAGTTCTATGTAGGACCACTAGTTCACAATGTGCATGACCAAGGAACAACTCAGCAATTTCCTTCTTCAAAATTCATCCCTTGTGAATATTTTCTGCTTCTTTATCTGATCCATAAATGCATGAGTTCTTAATTTAATCTGATGTCACTTCCTAAAGCTGGTTCAGAACGTTCTTGCTGTCTCACTCAAGGAGGTCAAGAGTCACTGAAACAGAAGGCCTGAAGATGAGGACATATTTATGGTTTAGACATAGCAATTATACTGTAGTCAAATTAATATTAAATGTATAAATGCTATATTCTCTCAACCATCTATGTATTATTTAATGGAATCTCTGGGTCATAAGAGGCACATAGCTTTTGCTACAGCAAAGCTGAGGCTCACTAGGTACACAGAGCAATTTGCTCAGGGAGAGTTAATTTTTTATGCATGTTTTGTGCATAAGTAAATTGGAATGTGGAGATTAGATCACACTCCAGCTGTTTCTTTGTAAATTGAGCTGTCTCCTATGCAATTCCAAGACAATAATAACCCCTCCATCTTCAGGGCTTACACATGAACACAGCAAGAATAAATAAATAAATAAATAAATAAATAAATAAATAAATAAATAAATAAATACACACACACACACACATATATATATATATATATACATATATATATATATATATATATATGGATATTAAACTAAAACACATATGTAAATTCCTGCAGTGATTTCCTCAGGCAATGATCCCCACAAATGCCTCCATTACAGGTCCCATCAAATGGTCCCTGGGCTGTGTATAGAGTTCATTTATAAAAGAACAATTCTGAAATTCAAGGAAATCACCCATGACTGATCAGTCTGTTTCTGGATCAGCTATTGCTATGTTATTCAACAAGGGAATTAACTCTTTTCTACTCATAACCAGGTTATGCTGAATGCAATACAAATGGTTTTCTCTTGAAACATTTTTATTTTAACCCATTGAAATAAAATGTATCTTTTGTGCATTTTCACTAGAAAGAATACTACAGAAATAGACAGACATAAAACCAGACCAGTCTTTGGATAAGAGGTTTTAAAAGAAGAGAGATGCATATAGGTATATAGAATGTCATGTACTAGATTTTATTGGTGGTTTAGTGAATAATGTGTATTGCTTAGCAATCTGAGATGGTGATTTAAAATTCATTAGGTAATGAGGGTATTATGCCTTCAATATGAATGTCCCACCTAAGCTCATGTATTTAAGCACCTGTTCTATAGCTGGTAGTGCTGTATGGAAAAGTCGGAACTATTGTTAGGTGGAACCTCACAGGAAGAAGTAAATTATTAGAAGTGGGCCTTGAGATCTTAGAGCCTATATTCATTTTCTGTCTGCTTTCTCATTCTTGCTTCAAGATGTGAGGGAGCTCAGTTGCTACCATGAAGTCACATCCTACCATGGCTTTC